CTAGAGCAGTCTTTTATCGATGGCTGGTAGTACATCCGTACGCCTGCAAATTCGCCAAAAAGATTTTATCACATACTATACGAAAGAAAACTGGTCATGAAACTGCAAATCACTAACCTAAATCCATGTTGACAATTATCATTATTCTCGCCGGGACAAAATATTGAAGAATCTCGAATCTCTATACCCATCTCTACGTAGTTTCTGTTCGGATATATCGAAAGGTATTCTGACTTGGGTTTTGTGGAACCTTTCACAACGTATGTGATCAACTTTGATAAAGGTGAATTCTGGTCATCGAAATCTGCTGTCTTCATATTGGCGTCAAATCAAAATTAAACACTAGCCCTGGTGATCTGATTGTTAAGCTGCAATAAGACAGAGCCAGCCAAAACTGGATGAACAGATGACTAAAAGTACGCATGATGGCAGTGTTGGAAAGCGTTGCTGATGATTATTTATTGAGATCGATCTAGGATTAGGACGCGGAGAAATTGAGATACATAAACTGAAGATATGGAAGTATTTTGAAACGACCAAAAGTCGGGACCCTTCTTGAAGCTTTGTGAAGTCAGCATTGTGCGTGAAAATATCGAACCGATGGGTGAGAAAAGTCTGACCGAAGCTGCAGGAAGTCGAACGTCACTCGTCACCAGTTCATATCGGAGTCTTTTGGTCAATTTATATCTTCACAGTATGATATCGTGAGTCGTAAATTGCAATACGTTCAAAGACAAGATCCTGAAGAACATATCGACATCCTGAGAGTAGCAGGGTACACAGTTCACTGCGAGGGAAATTTGTAGGTCACTCGACTCCGAGTCTGAAGACACTGACCACATCTCAGACTCTCCGATTGCCACCGATTGCACACAAAGAACCTGACACCGCGGGAAAAAAGTAGTCTGAAACCCCATTGAATAGAGTGTCGCGGTGACCGGGTCCACAACTTTCTTCAATCACAGTGTGTGCAGGTTTGCCATGGGTTTGCTGATTACCCTCAGTACCAAATGTCCTTCCCACAGGAAACAAGAGACAATTTTCCCGCGGGAAGACCGATTACACATAATGTAGTTTCTGAGCCATAGTGTACAAATAACACAGATATAACACCAAAATAATACATTTTGGCTCATTAACTGAGTCAGATACAATAGGGCAGTTCAAGATGGGCTTTTACAGCCCATTCTCAATTTTTATGTGTGACTCGGGGCCTTGATTTTTTAAGGTTAATTTTAACTCTCGTGAACCAGCTCTAGAGCTGGTTCACGACTTTGCGATTTCTCATTTGGTCTTAAAATCTATAGGAATTTCCGAGTCCAAAAAAAAGCAGGGCAATTTTTTTTTGTTTTTTTTGTTTTTGTTTTTTCCCCTTTGGTGCCTTGTTGTACCGGCTATTCGAAAAAAAAATCACCTCTTTCATTAACGAACCCAAAAGATTCCGTTGGGGGTCAAAGACATCGGTGATCACAGATCTTTCACATGATCATGATTCCCCTGGTCCTCTGGATTACCCTCTTCCACGCGTTTCAAGCATACTTTCTCCGCAGGTCTCCATATCACGTTCGAGCGCGTTCACTTCAAAACTCATCAACGCAGAAGATCCCCGACGCAAAGGCTTTGGGCGTCCAGGTCTACTTCAGGAGGAGGTTTGCCTGCCCTGCGTTTGGACTCGCTAGCCATGGAACGACCAAAGATCTTGCGACCCAACCTCGCTTCCCATGACTCATCGCATACACCTTTTGGCAGATTCTCCAAAAGCTATATAACACTGTGCTCTTGTGATTTCCTGGTCGGTTGACCATTTTCTCTTATCTTTATTGTGATCCTCAGACTTCTCACCTTATTACCTTGTTCCCCAGACTATTTCTTGCACGTCCACCCTTCTTCCTTTCGTCTTCTTTGCTTGCATCACTCTCCAGCGACTATGAACCCTACCCTGAAACCAAACGGAAAGGTGAGTAAATATCAATTCAATTACTCGGGGTTTAATTTTGGAAAACTGACCTTTTCTTTTCTCTTGGGGCAGGCTCCTCCCAGAACTCGTCGGACTAGAGCCCAAATAGAAGAGGATCTCCTTGCTTCCGGAATACCAGCCAACATTCGAGCAACCCCAGCTGCCATCAAGCGCTCTTGTATCGCCGCGCAAAAACGCTTGCGTTGTGACTCGGTTGCGGCTTCCTCAAAATCCCAGAGGGACAGCCCGCCTTTTCAACTGGTGGATTACCAAACTATTGTCGCCTACCTTGCCAGGCCTAACGTTTGCAACTCAATCTTTGGCGGCGGCAGTCAAACGAGGGTCTCAGGGATGCCAAAGAATCCAACTTCAATCCTGAACTCTCTCGCAATGCAATTGAATAATAATTACAATATCCAAAACAACTGCACCGACATGCGACTCAATGGACGCGTCTTACATCAACGCCTCAAACGATTTAAGTCGAAGTATTCCAAAACAAAGGCTTTCAGTTTGAAAACAGGGAGCGGTTTATTGGCAAAGAATGTTGCCGACGGGATTCATACCATGCCTGATTTGTTGGAATCAATGTGTCCATGTTTCGATGAGATGGACACATTGTTTCGCGACAAAGGAAATGTGAATCCATTTGGTATTCTGGACACCGGCATAGAAGAACCATTTTCGGAAGACAATGAAGAAAGCGACAAATACGAAGTGGACAAAGAGATACGCAGTCCAAAGGCGCAGCTACCTGATGTCGAAGTTGATGGCAGTAGTACCTCTGATGGGCACGATCACTCGGTGGTCATTCCTGTGAAACGAGCTGGTAAGCCGGGGATTTGCTGACGTCACAACACCCCGATGCCGCGCTGACACCCTCTTTTTTTCTACAGAGGCAAACCCACGCAGCAAAACAAGCGTCCCAGCCCCAGCGCGCTTCTCGAGCCCCGATGCCGAGGAATTAGAAGCTTATCAAGAGCTGTTCAATTCACAACCACCTCAGCTGAGTGTTCCCCTCAGCGCCGATCAACGTGTAAACGCCCATTATCGTGCCTTTCTGGACAACGATCTCGATTCCCAACCCCCAACTCCAAAAGTCCCAGAGGTACCATCACCTGCAATGGCCAATCAATTCAAGCGACCAGCTTCAAAGCCTGTCGCACGCCGACGCGCCAAAAAGGACACTTTGACCGCCGAGGAACGAATGTTGGACGACTCCTCAGAAGAAGACGTCAACGTGGCCAACCCCGTGGTGGCCTTACCTATTGCGACTCAAAGCCGCACTGCAAGTCGAGGAACTCTCGCAAGGCATGCTCTCAATCCTCTGCCATCAATCGATCCGGCAACCATCCAATCGAAAGACTACAAACACCCCGTGGCGACGGCTATGCAAATGGGTAACGCTGCCAAAATTGACATGTTACGGGCAGCCAACAAATGGCGTCAACAGTTTGACGCCGCGCGATTGGAATCTGAATTGGAGGCTTGCAGATCAGACCTCAGTTGGGCTAAAGAGCGATTCTTTTTGGAACGTGAGGAAGAACGCAATCGAATTGCTCTGGTGACACGCAATGAGCGGAAAGCCTTTTGCAAGAAGCTTGTCCTTGAGGGAAAGACTCCCCAAGAACTTGAGGCTTACCTTTGCCTCGTGTATCCGGATGACGTGTAAGGCATCCTTCATTCCTCAAGTCCCCAATCCGAGCTGATGTTGTTCTCTGCGTCTGTTGCAGCCTGCTGCCTTCCACCTGATCCACTGTCCCGAACAATTTGCTATTCAACATGTTGGTATTACTGTGTTGGGATGCGATGCCATTAAGTCAAAAAGATCGATTGATGGCTATAGATCGTTTGATGGCTATGTTGGCTATGTATTTCTTTCTTTTAGGGTATTTCTTTTTGTTTTTCAGCGTCTCTGAGTGTATTGTCAGTCTTATTTTTGTTTATCAGCGTCTCTGAGTGTATCGTCAGTCTTATTTTGTTCAAACAAAATAAGACTGATGGTGTCTTTTGTCTTTTTTTTGTTGTTTTTGAAGTGAGTATCTGTCTTCATGAGCGAGTCTTTTTTTTTTGTTGTGTTAGTGTTATTTTGTTGAAACTCACGATGGTTGGTACCTATGTGATAAAATATATTTGTATTTGATTGAATAAAGAGTCCCCAAAGAGCTTGAGAAGACATTCCTGTGACCAGTTAATAAGAGATGATGTCAAGCATACTTTGGTAGCTTTGATCTGCGTGTGAAGTCAACGTTCAAACCCATCCAAATGTTAGATATCAAAAGACAGAAATTGATTCTTCATTACAAGACCAAATTCCAAGCGACCACAACCACAGAGAAGTCATAGAGAAAAACAAACAAGGAGACTTGAGAAAAACAAACAAGGAGACTTAAGACGACAAAACATTACAACAAAACAAGGGAAAATACAAGCAGCCAATCGCGACCGAGAGAACCAAAAGCTTACTGAACGATGGGTAAACCACCATTTTGCCAGTTGTAAGCCACAGCGTGGTCTTGTACACTCTCTCTTTTTGCTCCACCCCTTTCCATCCCAGCGAGATCAGAGATTGCTTCACAATTCCTCTCCTGGCCCGCCTCTCCTCTTTCAAGCAACGCGAGAGTGTCTTCCTCGTCCTCCCAAGCATTCCTGAGGTCTGCCAACATGTTGTGCAGGATGATACAACATCGAACCCATCGGAGGAGGTGTTGCATATCCTCACGCTCGTTCAGGCCCAATCGCAACCCTTGTAATGATGCCCATCGCGATTTGAGGATTCCAATGCAATGTTCATTGCAAACCCGAGCCTTAGCAACACACCAATTGAACTCTTGGTTGCGCTTGACGTCTGCTGCCTGACCTTTGTAAGAGGGCACGACCGTTTCGGATGGAATGTATGCGGAATCCGCAAGTATGTACTCGTCTGTGTTGCAATGCATGTCAGTTAAGCCAGCACTTCATGTGGGAAACTGATAAAAACACACCTTTATCAAAATAGAGATGTGGGTTATTGGCAACATCAGTTTTTGAATAAACTGTGCTGTCACAGCATGAACCGGGCCAACCTCCATATACATATATAATTCTGCGGTCACAGTCACATATCACCTGCATGTTGATTGAGTAACGATGTTTACGATCGAAAAAGACTTTGCCATCACGGCCGGGTCGCTGGAATAGGGGAATAGTTGTGCCGTCGACAAATCCGACACAATTGGGGAAACCATCTCGCTCGAGAACCTTGGAGATTTCTTTTTGACGATCTGCATTAGGCCATTTTACATAGTGAGCGCCCGCGTTGAGAATGGCGGCAATCACACGACGTGTACAGTTCACCACGGAGCCACGCCCAACTTTGTAGTTTCTTGCAAAACGGCCTATGGAGGCCCCATTGCCATTACTTCCAAGTCGTTCAAGTGTGATCGCTAGCTGGTGTTCCACAGGAGGTTGAGGATTGTTACTATTTGTAACAAAGATCGGGTCTGAGATTATGATGGCCAGTAGGGCGCGGAAACCTTCAGGTGATGTTCGCATCGCTTGCTGAAAATCGGTTCGCCTGGTGTGTAACATATCCCGAAGATCAAAGGGATTGGCCAGAGTAATTCGGAAACGAGGCTCGAGGTACCGGCTTGAGATAACCACGGAGAGTAGGTCACTCCAATCCCATTCTTTGTCGAAGAGTTCGTCGTACATGGACGCCATTTGAGCGTCATCTGGGAATAACATTTGTCCGTCACTAGGGTCGGGTTGGTGGTATTCTATTCCAGGTATGTTGGTTCCAGCATTGGCGTGAGCAAACATGCATAGATCTGCAAGCTCACGAATGGCGGTCACTCTTGGAGATACACGAGGCATGAGAATGCGTGCCACAGGTGTTGAGAACCGAATGTAAACTTTGAGGGTTTGCAGAGTTGGCCGAGGGAGCGAGCAAGTGAAAGGGTCAAAAGGATCGAGTGAAGCGTTTGAGAGAAGACGAGTTGATGGTGAAGCCGAGAGAGGAAGTGTTGATGGTGACGCTAGGTATCGCGCCTCTATCATATGGTTGCCAAAGCGCAACACGTAGGCCATTCATTTTGAAAACAGAATGAAAATGTTCAGAAATTAGATGAAAGAGAGGACACCACCGTGGTATCCGATCAAAAGAAAAAAACAAAAAAAGAAAAAAAAGACGGTTGGGCCTGATTTTATGAGGCCGTAAAACTTATTTTAAGGGTGTCTGCCAGTCTGCAAACGCAAATCTTAAGGGCCGGACACCCTTAAAATTTATGTTCGTGACAGTGCGGCGCCTTGTCCGCAGAATCTGACTTGAACTGCCCTAATAGGGCGGTTCAAGAAGGGCTTTTACAGCCTTTTTTTAAATTTTAAAACTGGTTCGGGAGACTTAAATTATAAGTAAAATTTTAAGTTCGTGGACCACCTTTAGAGGTGGTTCACTATTTTGCAATCTCATAAAGTGTCTTAAAATTTATATACCATTTTAAACCATCAGGAACAAATGAGCAAAAAAAGTATCACTTTGTTTTTTTTTTCAAAAATTTAGTCATTCCTGGATGCAACGGTCTTTTGTCAAAAAAAATGATTTTTTTTCCTTCTCTTTCATTAACAAATTTATTTGAACAAGAAGGGTCCAAACACATATCAAGACCCTCACCAAAATTGCACCTGGGCCGGATCACGTTTGTTTATGCTTGTCTTGGCATGGCCAAACTCATACGATCACGTCAACACCCTCGGCTTATCAATTTCCATCTCATCTCACATCAGGACTCACAGGATTGCGGCTCTGGACCGATTGTATCAGGACGGGGATGTTTGGATCTTTGGAGCTCTTCATTTCATATCGTTTCAGGACTCACATGATGGCGGCTCTGGAACAAATTGTACCAGGACTCGCACGTTGAAGACTTTGGCTCTAGAACTTTGGCTCTGTGTTTTAACATATCGAAGTACAACAAGGCAACAAGGCTAGGCTTGAGATGATTGCAAAAGGAAATGAATTGTATCAACAAGTCGAATCTACTCGACTCAAAGCCGAACTTGATGCGTGCACTTTGGACCTGGACCTTTGACTGTCAAGAGCAGTGCGAGTCCGAAGCGAGAAGATTGTCACAAGACGCCCAAAAGGAACGTCAAGCTTTTTGCAAAAGGTTGGTAAAGGAAGGGAAGTCCACACAAGAACTTGAGGCTTAATATGGTATTTCCATCCCAAGCAGCGCAAGAATGGGTGTAAGTTTTTCCAGCAAATGAATTCATTACAAGAGATCTCCTAATCTGACCACTCGTAACCTCTGTTATTTAGGTAATTCAATACATCAACCTCAGCGTCTGATTTGATAATCAATGTCTTGTCTTCAAGGGTTTCCAATCTAGCTCCCTGTGGTTGTCTTTGTTGACAGTCCTCCCATTTAGTGCATCAGTGTCTCTTCCATTTATGATCCATCAGTTTCTTTTCCGCTTATGATGCTCATACCATTTTTAAATGGTTAACCTTCCTTTTCTCATTTTGATTCTAACAACTTGTTCAGTCCTTTCCTTATTTTCATCCTTCAAGATTTCTTTTTGGTTTGTTTTAGTTTGTTTTTGTCAGCTTTATCAAGTTGTCCACACCTTTGCTTATTGTGATCCTTCATGATTGCCTTGTAGTTTTGTTGGTTTGGCTTTATTGACTTGTCAATGTGTTTTCTTATCTTGTTTTAGTTTCGTACCTTGTACTTTGTTTGAAGTTCGCGATGAAAGATCAAGCAAATTTTCTGTAAAACAACAAAATGACAGATAAAGCGACAAATTTCCCTTCCTGTAAACCCACAAGCCAAGGTCGCGCCGCGCGAATAACCTTTGATTTCAGAACCTTTCATGATCCTCAGTGCTATCAGTTCAGATTTGAGAGGTCAAAAGATCAAAGCTCGATCTTCAAATAAGGTCATCCAAAAGGAATTATACCCCAGTCTGATCCAAGTTGCAAAAGCGTAAGTCAAGAGGAAGATTGAATGAAAATCAGGACTCAATACACATGTTGAATTACACGGTATTGAACATCAACTACTACAGAACTACAATTTTACCCAAAAACAAAACAAACAAGAAACATCACATCATAGAACAAGAGAAATAGTGCCAATTACTCAAGTCACGGATGACTGATACTCGTCCGGAGACGCAAGGCACTAACAACATTGGACCAGTTGCGCTTCGGCCAACCGCTGCCAGCTGCTGCGCAGCGGCGCGCCGGTCCGCTTCATATGACCCGAAGCGCAGCTCACTTGAGCTGCGCTGACAGACCGGCCGGAAACCGGTTTTTTTTACCCGCTGCGCTCCAGCTGTGCAGCTGGCCCCGTCCGCTGCATAAGCTGCGTTCCGGGTCGCTTACCCGCTCCGAAGCGTGTCAGCGACCTATTTCACCCAAAGGAGATAGGGTCAAGCCCTTCTCCACCCATCACCACTTATAGTACGCCCCTGCGTTGAAACCCTCCATCAATACCACACCATGATCACACCACCACCACCCAAATCGTCCTATCCCTCCATATCAACAACCCAATTCGGCTACACCATGACTGGAAAGGACCCCCCTCGAGTCACGAAATGGGTTTCAAGCTATCACTTTCGAGGTATATATAGAAGTCAGTATGGTTCCCTCATCTCTTCTACACCACGCTTCCCATTTGATTCCTAGCACTGTCCATCCTTCTTCCATACTTTCAACACCTAAAGTTAAACACTACCCAAATACTTTTCATTACATCTATCCATATCTTTCATATCCTTCCAATCGATCGATTATCTAATCTAGTTTTCTATATACAATCCAAGTTCGAATAATAATCAAATTTCTTTATCTTTTCCTCGATTCTGATATCTTTCTCTTCTCTTTATCCCCTTCTTCTGTTAATAACCGGTTTTCTACCACGCTTTACAATCGATCCAATAGCCCGGAAGTGTCTGCAGATAATAGTTCCTCTACCCTTGATCAAGATGCCGTCTCAATCACGGAAATCCACCGCCTCTCCATCCAATCATCCATCTTCAGCTAGTCGTCCTCAACGATCGCGTCAACCTCCTTCGAAGCCTGGCATGTTAACGCCCAGCCGAGATTCACGAAGGCGCCTGTCTGATAGCTTACCTCAGCCCAGCCCCGGTCCATCCAAACGCAAGCGTGCTTCTTCATCGGTCACCATCATCGATCTAGAAGATGACGATGATTCGGTTTCCAACGATTCACATCCAAGTGAGGATGACGAATCCGACCAGCCAGAAACAATTTCGAAGAAGAAAGGGAAATTTAAAGTAACCAATAAGAAGAAAAAAAGGAAGGTCGATCGAAACAAAAACAAACAGGTAAAGTCAATGATTGATTTTCATCGTTTCGAGATCAATCAAGCTCGACATGATACTGACTGTGTAATCACTTTATAACATTAGATCCTGCCCGCTACCGGCTCGTCCTTGGTCACCAAAACCATCCTAGCTGCCGATTCAGAAGAAGAAAACAATAAGGTGAAGCCTCGCGGACGACGCACCGATTCTGAAAAGGATGAACATGATTCACTCGCCGAATATTTTGGAGTGCCATTCCACAAGAAAGACGATGTAAGTATGTCTTGGTTTACAGTGCGAACTTTTATTTCTGAAGCCTTACCTTGGTTTCAAATATACAAATGTAGGACATCACGTTGCCACCTCTGTCCTATCCCTGCCCTTGGTGTACAACGAACCCCTTGAAGCCCGTATCAGTACGAGTCAGCCGCACCAACTACACGACCAACTTGAAAACCCATCGTGATGGGTATACCGCAGTTGGTCGATCTAAGACTGGGTGTCCCGGCCGGAACCGAGCCAAAGCCGCGGGCATCCATGTACCTCCTTCCGTCGCCAAAGCTGAAGCAGCGCGTGCCAACGATAAGAACAATCCGGCTTCGCTATCTTCTTTCGTAGTCGTGGGTACCAAAGGTAAATTTGATAATGTAACATTTAATCAGATGCTATGTTTATGGATGAGCTCTCAAGCTCTACCCTGGAACCGTATGTCCGACAAGTGGCTCCGGGTGGCTGTTAGTTACCTTCGTCCTGATGCTCGTATGTACGGTCGGAAATGGGCGGCCAATGAAGCGAAACGGTTGAATTTGTCGATGAAGAAGGTGGTTTTTGATGAGCTAACGGTAAGTGGAAATTCTTTTCATATTCAATTGTTGAACAGGGTTTCTGACCATCGATCGATCTGTTCTCAAGAGTTTGACCAGCAAGATCAGCCTCCAACAAGACGTGTGGACCACGAAAGGTAACCGACACGCCTTCATCGGAGCCGGGGTTACATACATCAACAACCAGTGGCGATTTGTAGGCCGACATCTGACGCTCAAATTGGTGGCATGGGAGCACAAGGGAAAGTGGCTCGCGGAACCGATAGTGAACATATTTATTAAGCGAGGCTTAGTCAATAAGATAAGTAATTCCAATATTCAAATTTTCTTATGATTTTTAAATCTATTTATGTCAACGTTGGTCTGATCTTTCCTTCCTTCTGCACCTCCTTTGCCAGACAACTGACTCCGGATCGAACAACAAAACAATGGCCCGGGAGATGCACGCACAGTTCTTGTCCCAGCCACACCTATTGGACTACTCGTTTGATCCCGATCGGATGCATGTCTTTTGTTTCTGCCACAAAATGGCGTTGGTGGTAGGATTTGGGCTTGCAGCACTGGGTCTTAAGACTGCCCCACCTAGGAGAATCAAAACTGCCATGCGAGGCCAATTCCCCACCTTCAACACCACGATTGTCGAAGAAGAAGATGAGACGACCGCCGATGTGATCACTGATACCTCTGATGCACCTGTACCCAACGAGGAATCAGAATCCGATAACGAACCCGATCTTCAGGAAACGTTCGACCGGGAAGAAGAGGATCAGGAACCCGATGTTGATAAGGATGAAGAGGACGATTGGGATCTTGCCGATGCTGAAGATGAGGCTAACCCTCTTCTTCAGGCTGAAGCAGAGATGCAAGGCTACGATCGAGCGGTACCTACGCATCGCCGTCAAGCAAATCGACTCGATGCTCTTCTAGACAAGGTGAAAATCTCACTGTACTTACCTTGTATTCACAAATCGATCTGACATCATTTTGCCAAATCAATGAAATCAGATCGATTTCATTCTTCGAAGGATCACCCGGTCTGCGGCATGGCGCAAGGAGTTTGATCGCGTCATGAATAGTCTTGGTCTCAAACTTGATTCCCTCATCGCGGCCTACGGGATTCGCTGGAACATCAAGTACATTAGTCGCGAGAAAGCCTGGCAGGCGCGAGATGTAAGTGGTCAACTTTTTCTTACTTGTATCTATATTATCTGATGTTTGTTTACATATTTACATACTTTCTTTTTGTGTAGGTCATTGACCAACTGCTCAAGGACGATCTTGCCAGGGTTCATGCAAAGAATAGGCGTCCACGTAAGAATGGTCAGCCGCACGGTTACTTCCACGAGTTGACAATTACCCCGTCGGAATGGGCCCAAGTTCGAAACCTCAATGCTGAACTGAAGGTATGTGCTTTGATTTCTTCAATACTACCTGTTAATGCTTCCTTTCAATGAATCATTAACGTGTCATTACCTTCTACCAGCGATTTCTCGACGTTACCAAACGTATGGAGGGGAGAAAGCCTACAGGTACTATGGTTATACCCGAATACATTGAGTTACGTGAAACTTTGCAAGATCGAGCGGATTTCCTGGACTTGTCCGACGCTTTATACCCCATGTTGGCCGCTATGTTGGAAAAGACACAAACATATCTCGATGAAGCTCTATCTTGCGATGCATTGGTAATGGCGACGATGTTGCATCCAGCGTTCCGACTTCGGTTCTTTCATTCTTTTTTCACTAAGAACTCTTCCACTTCAATTCAAGCTGAAGCGACGTTTAATGCGCAATTCAAATTGTATCAAATGAAAACCTCACACAAAGACCAAGCGAAGTCGCGTATTTCATCAAAGAATCGACCAGAGTCAAGCACCAAAGCATCTATATACAACATTTATAGCGACAATGGTGACGATATGGGTGACGATAATCAGCTCACTGACTATCTACGGGGTTGCGATCGCATGAAGGAAACAGAGTATGATATTTCTGATCCCAACTCGGCGCTCGACTGGTGGAAGGCAAGTCCACTGTTTCACTTTAATACTCATGTATAATTTCTTTTCTGATATGGTTTTATTTGTGGTTATCAGGCGCATTCCAACTGATACCCTGTCATCGCTGCGATGGTCAAAGATTACTTATCATGTTCTGGATCATCCTGTGAGCCCGAGAGAATGTTCTCCACGGCGGCGGATGTATGTGTTGCCAGCAGGGGCCGAATGTTGGTTATCTCAATTGAAAGGCAGGTTTCTGTGCAGCTCTGGCTAGCTGAGGGAGTTCCGTTAGGTCACGAGTTTATAAAGTTGATGGAGGCATGTGGTGTAACTGAGTATGAGGGATATTTGAGGGATTACAATTTGTCAAAGCGTGATAAGTAGTGTGGTTTCTTTATATTGTCTATTTTATGCCACTCTTCCTATTCTATGCCTCGATTTTTCTTTCTATATGCCTATGCCCTTGTCTGCCTATGCCCCCTTTGATCTTAGAAATACATCAAACCAAAATTTATGCAATCTTTGACCTTGTGAGCCTAGGCAGCGCGCTGCGAAGCGTCAGCGACGCTTTGTGGCGCTGCGCTGCACCGGAGAGTTGTACAGTATCACCTCAAGATGCTGCGCTGCGCCTGTCAGCGTAGCTGACAAGAGCTGCGCTGCAAGAAGTGTGATTTCCAGGAAGCGGTCTTCAGCTGCGCTTCAGCTGCCACCTTCGAAGCGCAATGAAGCGCAGCTGGTCCAACGTTGGCACTAAGAAAGACGAAAATTGGAAGGTGAGGAAAGCGAGAAAATAAGTCTTTTGAGGGAACGTAGGAATCTGAATTGTTGAGGTCTGGGGATGGACCAGAATCTTGTTTCTTGCTCTTGCATGAACCACAATACCCCTTAATTTTTTCAAAAAAAACCAAAAAAAAAGTTGAGAAGACAAAAAAAAACTGTTGGATTGAAGAAAAAAGTTGACCATGGCATTTTGGTAACTGTTGTACCTGAAATTGCCAGCTCTTAAAACTTAAATTAGAGGTGTTTGTGACTATGCGAACACAAATTTTAAGGATTGTCGACCCTTAAAATGCTTGATTGCCAACCTGCGTGCAGGGTGTTTGCAAAACTCTTCTTGAACCGCCCTAATTGGTTTTCCCGCTGGAAAATTGTCCCTCGTTTTCTGTGTCCCTATCAGTCACCCCATGGATCATCACTTTTCTTTCTGCCTCAGTATGCACAGCAATCCTCAGCAATTCCTTTCAAACTCATAGCTTTATTCAGTAAATAAACCCCATTATATATATTTATTGTGCTCTTATGTACTTGGGAGTAGTGATATCCAAAAGCACAGTATGTAGGTATGGAATCAAGATTATGTTATGTTATTAGTGTTGCTGGATTTGGTTGAAAAGATCTGAAGTTGGCAAGAATGATCTCTGAGTAAGAAGAGAAAGGAGATAGACTGCAGGACATGCTGATGCAAGGGTAATCAGAAACTCAGGGCAAACCTGAGGCAAACAAGCTCTGTGATTGAAGAAAGTTGCCGACCTGGTCACATTGACTGTCTTCAATTGGTTTTCAGACTGATTTATTCCCAGTGTGAGTGACAAACTGTCACATTGCTGATGTGTGACTTTAAATCACATTAATTGCCCTTTAACTTTAACAAAGTCCCACACTGTTGCTCACAACCCAAGCCCCACTAAGGTAATTATCCCAGACTTGCACACAGACAAAGGTCAGGAAGAAGAGTTTGGCTAAGGATGTCCTTGCAAGACTTCTGTGCCTTTTGTTTGCCAAGGAATTCTGTGAGACCCATAGAGAACATTGATCTTTGCACACAATGTACACTGTTTCCCTGAGGAAGTTGATTTCTTCTTGCAAAAAAGTCCCTCAAAGATTGGGTCTGAACTACTCATCCAAGGCTTGAGAGAAAAGTTACATGTGCTATCTGCTGTTGAGAGTCAACCTTTGAGGAGCCTTTTAGGCAAGAAGTATGCAACTTCTGTTAAGTGAAGGCGCATATGTCATGCTTAGATTTCACAGTTATGAACCTTTGTGTATATGTATATTTCTTTCTCATTTCTTTTGTTTGACATGTGTGTGTTTGTTATGCTTACAAGATCAAGTGGTACTCATTCTAAACCCAACTAGATTTATTCTGTATAGTTCAAATACCTGTTGGGGTAGCACATTTGGATTTGTTCTTCCCTCATCCAACTTGTTCTCTTCTCATCTGGATAAAGGTGAGTAATTCAGTTTGCGGAATAGTGATCAGATTCTAGATTCTAAATCTATCAATCCCTGCTCCATAAAATTTTTAACAACTCCCGTGGGGGTGAGGTTGTGTACATTGTGCACAAGACTGCTCCACACAGTGTTTATTATGGGTCTTGCAGGATTACTTGGTGAACAAAAGGTACAGAAGGCTTGCAAAGTTGTCCCCAGCCAGACTCTTATTCCAGATGGTTCTGGGGAAATAAGGTTTACAAATGGAAAATCAACAATT